TCTAGCAATCAAATTTAGGTATGAGAAAATCTTACATAATGCTATTCGATTTACAAGAGTCCTTATTATCCTTTCTAATTCAACTATAATTAAAATTTGGTAGTAGGCTAGTAGCGATACATATTTTGTATATATCCATAATATTTATTCATTACATTTGTGGCATAAGTTTTAAATATAGATTGTGTTTATCGATTTTATTTTATTTTGTCATTCAGAGTTATCGGAGTTTCATATCAAATATTTTTTGTTGTTGTGTTATCGAGCGCATCGGTCCTGCGAAGGGCGGGACCCTCCTGGCCGCGTCACGCAGAAGTTGGTCTACCTTGTCGCGATACACATGGCACCGTGCCAAAAAAATGGCAGCGCTTCCCCCTAAAAAAACGTTGTTGCTGAGTCAAAATTTCGGCAGCATAACCCCCAACAAACCCTTGCCGCTCGCTGCACCGTCTAGCCCTGACGCAGCCTCACCGCCACAACACCAGCACGAGGATGGGGCAAAAGCCCCCAACCTTTGGCTATGGCTGCCCTAACCTGTCCTCCTCTAGCAATGTCTCCCCTCATCCTCCAGACCTCGAGCGCCTCCACCTTCTTCCTCCAGCAACACGTCCGCCAGCAGCACCGCCCCTCACAATGTGATGGAGCTCATCTGCACTTGAAGTGCAAATGAGAAGCATCACAAACTCAACAACTATGAGGCAAGTGTGGGTGTTGTTGGCTTTCATAGCCAGATGAAAACTGTGACCAACACTTCTTCCCTCAGGTAAAAATCGTAATTTACTTGGGGCCTTTGATCTGGGATAAGATCAAGGGTTCAGTGCGGCTGCAACCCAGCCACACACTTAGGGAGGCAGTTACTTTCAATTGCCTCCTTTTTATTTTCCCTTTTCCATGTACCCAACACTTTTCCCAGTGCAAGTACATTAAAAAAGTGGTTGTACTCAACCACTTTCCTAACTGACCCTTCAAATTACGGGTTTGATCTGAGTGGTCATTCTCAAACCAGCAAATTTGTATCTGGAGCACGACCGGGGGCACATTCGCGACCGCTGCGCTGCGCCTTCCCCTTTCCCTTTCCTCTTTTTTCTTTCTTTCTCTTTCTCCTGTTTTTGTTTTTTTATTGAGTGGGGAAGCTCGTTAAAACGAGCAACCACCCCCACGTCCAGTTATTTCCCAGAGTTGAATCAGAGTCAGGCGGGTGAAGACCTGTGTGGTCGGCAGTTTGGAAGGAGCTTCTTCAAATAAATTAGGAGTTTCCGAGTTCTGTGCAGTTGAATCTGTCTGCAGTAAAATACCCGTGTGACAAGTTATCTGAAAGGTTGCTTTTGAGTTCCATGCAGTCGGGTCTATCAGCGGGAAGGTGCCCGTGTGACCAGTCATCGGAAAAAGAGCTTCAAGGCTCCGAGCGGTTGGGTCTGTTTTTTTTGGGTTCAGTGCAGTTGGGTCTGCCTGCGGAAAAATGCTCGTGTGAGCAATTGTTAGAAAAAGATCTTCCAGGCTATGAGCGGTGGGTCTGTTTCGAATCCTGTGCGGTTGAATATGTGTGCTGTAAAATGCTTGTGTGACCAGTCACCCGAAAGGTGTTTTTGAGTTTTGTGCAGTCGGGTCTGTCTGAGGAAAAGTGCCCGCGTGACCAATCATCAGAAAAAAGTTTTTTGGCTCTGAGCAGCTGGGTCTGTTCATGGTGAATCCCAGTGTGACCTGGGGTCTGAAGGGAGCTCCTCAAATCGAGGGAGGTATTTCGAATTCTGTGCTGCCAGTATTGACCGCCGACTGGGTGACACCGGGTTTCTGAATATGGTTGATTGGTTTCGCATATAATATGAGACTGTGGAATTGGGTCCACTAAATTGGGGTTGTCCTGGGTATTCATATAGTTAAGAACGATTGATGTGAGTGAAGTTTTTTAGTGATGAACTTAAATTTTGATGATAAATGTCGTTGACTCTTTGGTAGTTACGGCTGTGGAGTCGGTTGTGGAGTTGGTTGTGGGGTGTAATCTAGTGGTGCCCATGATGTGCTTAACCGACGATGCCACGCCCGCTGAGGGCCCCACTTAATTCTTTAAGGGACGCTGGATCTGTTTCCCGACTTTTATAAAGAAACATATAGTTCTTCTAAAGAAAAAAAAAAAACTAACATCCGTGATTTTTAGCACTCGGAAGGATGGCTCAACAACTCTGAAAATTTGATTGTCCATAAATTTTGTCGTGATTATAAGAAAAATATTAAAAAAAAAAAAAAATCAACCACGAAATAAATCACGGGGGCAATTCGATGCATTTTTCAATTTTGGCACTCCGCCAGTTCCCCCCACCTTTGCTATTGTTAGTCCTCATGGGCCTGTGCTACCGGTCCCCCCTTATTTATGACGGGGGGGGGTAGTGGTGGTTTAACCACATGTGCTCTAAGTGCTTTCTTGAATCAACATATGAAAAGATTGTATCGACAATTAGTATCCTTATGCATATGTATCGAAAACGACACTGTCATTCTAAAACTTGGGCTACATTATCAAAATCTTCTTCTCTAATTGCTTTCTCAGATTAGCATACAAATCGGTAGATAGTATCTGTATGCATATGCATAGAAAATGACACAAAATGCCCGTTGTTTGCCTCTCTTTCCTTTCTAAAAAAGACTTCTTCATCTCTTCCTGATTGTTCACTACATGGTGCCACAAAAACAACACTATATGTACCTTTACATTCTTGTCCGTCGTCTGGTCATGCCTCTTCTCAACCGCAGACGTATCCACAAAGGGTCTACTTGTATTCTTAAATGAGGGATGTTAATCATCGAACAATACATCAGTTCTAAGGTAGCATCCAAACACTGATTTAACAATGGCGTTTAGGAGACATAATACTTTGTCGTCTGTTTATGAAGCTAGCAACTTAAAATATGGCAATAATAACAAAAACAAAAAGGAATGAGGTTTTTACAATACTAAGAGAATTGCAAAGAGGGATGTACATTATAAGTTGAATGCATAATCATTGTAATGGTGCATCCTTTTTGCAGTAAAAATATACTTGCATTCCTTTTGAATCGATTTTAAATTATCATTTCCTTTCATTCTTGTGCGAGTTGGTGTGTGGTATTGACGCATGTTCTATTCATATGCAAGCGCTATGCGTTGTACTTGAAAGGGCATTATTATTGAAAATATACGACCGAAATCTTAAAAGGCCTCCCCTTTTTTTTTTGGTTAATTCCAATACAAGGGCTAAGAGGTACATTTAGAGGAATAAGGTGGGGCGATTCTAGATGTATACAGCAGTGCAAAATGCGGCAATTCTGTCAAAATCATCCTTATGCAAGTACGGTCAAGCGGGAATATTGCATAGGCTGTGTGCATTTGGGGTTTCGCCCGGTCTATGCGGAAAGATTTTGAAATCTGACCCAGCAACGCCTGTATCATTCTTATTCTCTGCGACATTAGATTACCTTACTACGAAATTTGGAAGTCCGCTTGCTCATAAGGGCAAGCGTACCCTGTGTGCCTAGTGGGCCCCTTCAGAAAGACACCTGTGAGGGCACAGGTATCGGTTTTGAAAGCAGTTGTACAAAAGGGCGCCCACCCGGCTAATATACCATATGAGATGGAAGGGAACGTATGCGCACAATTCGCAGGCCATCTGTAGCAGTATGCGGGGCGAGGAAATCCTCTTCCTAGACTTGGCACCGTTCGGTGGTTTCCAAATGCAGCAGAAAAGGGCTCAGAAAGGAGCAGGGATTCGAATACAACGCCCGAGCGTTCTACTCAAATATAACCTTCAGGTTAGGAGTTTTTCGAAACGGCATATACCACCGGAATCTGAAAAGGGGCTCCCCATTTTCCAGGATATCCGAATAGAAAGCGTGGGCGTTATGCTCGGGGGACAGAGTGTCCCCAAACCGGCCTGGAAATCTACACAATGTCGGCGGGATATTCGGGATCGGTATGTGCCCAAGGATCTGACTCTGCGAATAGTCTATCACCCAAGAGTTATGTAGGGGCTCGCTGCACTACTCTCGACATGCACAAACGACAAAAATCATTGCCGTGTACATTTCCATGTTCTAGCGGAAGATTCACTCTCGTTTTGCACATTTCGAGAGTAGAATAGTGCAGCGAGGCCCATAGTCTCGCCGGGATCGGTCTATATGGTTTTGCGGCGCAGATACATCCGACAAAGACAAACTCCTAGTGTGACCATCCACTCGCTGCACTGGGGACGGTGGTAGTGTGAGCAGGCCCAAGTACAAATGTTTGTTTTTTGGACGGATCGGTCCGTATGTGCGCCCAGATACAGATACAGTCGACGATATCCCGGTGTGAACATGCCCTAATACAACATAGAGCTGACGTGGGTCGATGGCCGATGGCTGTGATTGACGCAGGAGGCCGAGGGGATTGGTGTGAGAGTAACGGTGCGTAGGTGAGGCCACGTGTCGCTCCATCGAGTGATTGGCCACTGAGTCACCGAAAAGTCCGAAGAAACATTAGGTGGGACTGTTTCTTTTCAACCGAATTCAGTCGTCTTCCCGGTCAGATGCAGGGAAGAACTTCCTGGTACGAGTATGTCCTCAGATCCGTCGACGAGTGTACTAGATCTGGTGCCGTAGTAAGAAAGAGCGAGACGGAGAACATAGCGCTGTAAGCCCTGGCAGGCTGGTATGGGGCTACTCATTGAGGGCGACGGGAACTATTGATTGATTGATTGATTAATTGATTGATTAATTGATTGATTAATTGATGAATTAATTGCTTGATTGGTTGGTCGGCTGATTGATGTGCTGCGTAACTGGGCCTGGTCGATGAATTTGGACTTCTTTCTGGCCATCGTTCAGTACAGTCATCGTCTTTCTGCGTATCTGTTTTAATCAGAAAGAAAAAGAGGGATTCGCAGGGAGGTGAGGGGGTGGGCCGGGGGGAGGGAGGGAGAGAAGGAGGGAGGGAGTCAGGTCGGTGGCGGGTAAGGCGAAGTGTCTCGCCGGCGCGGATTTGAGAACCCGCGAGCTATCGTGGATTGGTTGGTTCGTTCGGCCTATCGTGGATTGATTGACTGTTCACTCAGCCGTTGATTGGTTGGTTGATTGGCGAGTTCCTTGAGATGGCGGCCTCGTGGACGAGTTTCTCTGGATCCGAAGCATATTACAAAAGTAATCTGGATCTTGTATTGAAAGAGAATAAGCAGCTGAAGCTGAAAGTGGATCAGCTCGAAAGAGAGAACCGCGATTTGAGGAAGTCCGTTTATGATCTCAGCATCAGGTGTGACCTCATTTCACTCCACTTGTGTGTGTGTGTGTGTGTGTGTGTGTGTGTGTGTGTGTGTGTGTG